CACCAAAATGGTCCCTCCTCATCTTCACCAAATCAGTCCCTTCTCACCATAACCATAATAGTTCCTCCACCATCACGGTAATAGTATCTCCTCACCATCACCATAATGGTCCCTCCTCACCATCACCATAGTAGTCCCTCCACCTTCACTCTCTGGGTTACAGCTTCTCATTACTTCCATCTGATACATTGTACAATGTCCAACAAAGTGATATTTATTATTCTACTACATTCTGTCACGAATGTAGCAGTTCACTACTTGCTGACTACTCAGCAATGGCAGTATGAATGTAAAAAAGTAACTTCTACATAATTTCATGGTGCTCTACAACACACTGTCTAAACTGGAACTGTGGACATTTATCCACACAGGCAGCACAGTGGCTAAATGGTTATCACTTCCACCTGGCAGTACTAGGGTCGTTGTTTCAAATCCCAACCACGGCACCACCTGCCTGGAGTGTGCCTGTGTGGGTTTCCTCCAGGTACGCCAGTTTCCTCCCACACTGCAAAGACATGCTGGTAGGTAAATTGGCTCCTGTCTAAATTGTCCCTAGTATGTGTATGTATGAATGTGAGTTAAGGACCTTAGATTGTACACCCCTTGAGGGTTAGGGGCTGATGTGAATGTATAATATATGTAAAGCGCTGCGTAAATTGACGATGTTATATAAGTACCTGAAATAAATAAATATTCCTAACAAGCAGTAGAAAAAGTAATACAGGCTATCACTGGCCTCCATAGCTGCAGACACTGTGGAGTAAGGCCTCATGCACACAGGGCATTTTTGCAACCACTGTTAGGGACGACAGGCATTTTTCTTTACTGCTTCCAAACGGCCCTCCATGTTATCCTATGCAGGGGTGGACTGACAACTCATGGGGCCCCCGGGCAATAGGGGATCATGGAGCCCCTGTGTCCTTGCCCAAACTCAAAAAAGCCTATGATAAAGGTACCAAGGGCATCTCATTGGGCCCCCTACTGACCCCGGGCCCTCAGGCAGTGCCCGAGTTTCCAAATGGTCAGTCCGCCCCTGATCTATGTGTCCATGCACACAGACTTTTAGAAGCTTTAACAGCAGTAGTGTTTACCAGCAGGAAAAAAAACCCAGGGCCAGTGCATACAGGAGCAGCAGCGTTTTGGCAGAAAAAACTCTTGCCGTAGCTAAATGCGTCTAAATGCGTCTAAACGCTAGGCTCATTTACCACTTGAGCGTTAATTCATTTCAGTGGACAGAATAAATGATCATTCAGGCCCATGAAATGAAATAACACCCAAGCACTTGTCACTTGTAAACGCACCTAAAGGCTTGTAAAAGCATTAGATACTGTTACAAGCGTCAGGAGTTGTTCCTGCAAAAATACTGCTGTCAGGAGGACAGCTTCTAGGAGAGTTTTTTTAACATCCTGTGTGTATGAGGCCAAATTAATGCTCAAAGTTTACAGCCAAACCCCTTTTGTTTTCAACAGGTTTATTTTGGTTTATTTTGCTCCCCCTTACTAGCAGTGTCTGGGCAGCCGGCTAGCCTTTCAATATAAAAAACACAGTACAGGATCACCAGGAAGAGGGGAGAGAGCAAAGTGCACAGACCAGGCTTGGATGACTCCACTGCTTTCATTTTTAAATTGAGGATGAGTTGCTCCACATTGGATATAACTACAGAGCTCAGGGTTGGCTTATTTTGAAGTTCATTTACTGCTTTGAACTGAACTCAAAAAAAGTGAAGCTCTGTTAAGTGGTGCAGCACATTTTGAGGTATTAATGCCTCCACCCACTGTCCTGAAATGAGGAATTCAGGCTTACCTCGGTTTACGAATTTAATGCATTCTCCGTGACATTTATTGCAAAAAATTCATAAATCAAAACGTGGTTTCCCATAAGAATGCATTGAAAACCAAAATCCGTTCCGGAGGTCAGAAAAAAGTAAAAAAAAAAAGTATTTTATCTGTTCAAAACTCTTTTAATGCATAAATACTGTACATGGACATGATTAAAAATTTCCAGAATGGCTCCAAAACGCAATGCAAAAACCGCTCCAACACCACACTCAACGCCATGTGCTACCCACAGACTCTAGCATGCATGGGGCCGGCGCTATACACCTCCCAGGCGCAATTCATCCTGGGCAAACTTGCTTCGTATTGTGAAAAAAATCTGTAAATGCATTGAAAACCAATTAATTCATTCCGGAGGTCACAAAAAAAAGTTGAAAAAAGTCTTATCTGTTCAAAACTCTTTATAAAGTGCACTTTAAAGGCATGGGGCCGGCGCTATAAACCTCCCAGGCGCAATGCATCCTGGGGAAACTTGCTTCGTATTGCGAAAAAAATGTGTAAACCGAGGCATTATTTTAAATGGATTTTTCATTCGCAAACCAAAAATTACGATAACCGAGGCGTTCGTAAACCGAGGTACACCCGTAATCCCGTGTTGTTGGGATATATGATGGAATGAGACATGTGAATTCCTTCTGTTCTAATAAGCCTCTTCTGTGCTCTGCAATGGTTCACTGGAGGCTTTGTGTTTTCTTTTGGATCTCCTCACCATCATCTTCTGGGTTATACGTGTTTATTACCTCCACCACATACTGTATATAAAACAATCATCAAACAAAGTGATCTTTATAATGCTCTAAAGGTGAGCTTCACAGACGCAGCAGTGCAATGGTCGCAAAAGGCCTCGTTCACACCATACATGCAGAAAAACTGATGAAAACTGATGCACAAATTTCACTTGCAGAGACATCAGTTTACATCGGGTTTCAGGCTTGCTTCAATTAGTTTTATACACGTTGCAGATTCCTGCGCAGAAAAAAATCTGCAGGTGATACCAGTATTGTGGTGTGAACAGGACACATAGAGAACAATTGATTTTGTTGTGCCCTGGCAGAACGCATGCAGAAAAACTGATGTCTCTACACCGTGGTGTGAACGAGCCCTTAAAGAGGAGTTCCACCCAAAAGGGGAAGTTCCGCTTTGATGTTTTGTCCCCCACTCCCCATTAACCTCCTCGGCGGTATTATTCTTTCCGATTTTTTGTGCTCAAAGGGGTACCATTTTTTTTGCATGGAAATATGTAGTTTTTTATTGTAGGCTGTAATTTTTAGGAATAACTCATTGAAATCTGTACGAACAAGAGTCTAGTAAACATTCCAGATATGATAAAACTTGAAACACAAAATCATAAATTATAATTTAATAAATAATCATAAAAAATAATAATATAATAATAATACATTTAATTCAATATTATAATCAAACCAAAAACACTGAAATTTGAAATACAGAGGCAAATTCGCACATCGCTGAGCAAAGTCGCAAAATCGTTTTCAGTGTCTGATGACGAATTTCCCCACGAATCATTATCACTCAATTCTGCAAGTGGTTCTGATTTACTATCGCTGTTCTAAAACTGCTTTTGACGTAAAGGGATGCTTTTTGGACGTCATGGACTTTTCTAAGTTTCCAGGCAGAAAGAACAGTCAAAATGCAGGCAGGGCACAGGACAAAGCAGTAGGGACAAAATATATGTGAAATGCATTGAAACAGCAATGACAGCAAAAATGACATTTTTTAAAAATTTCAAATTTCCCACCGGTTCTGGCACCCGTACGTCCCGACGTCACAGGGACCGGAACACGGAAGCTGAATGCCGGCATCGGCCGGAGGAGATGGCCGGGGACGCTGCAGGGGACACATCGCGGGAGCGAAGGACAAGGTAAGTGCTGCAGGGACTCCCTGAGCAACGCCGCATGGTAAGCCCGAGTGTACCGCTCTTGGTACTCAAATTTTACCCCGAGCTACACTCGGGAAAACCGCTAAGGAGGTTAAGGATTGGCACCTTTGGGAACGGGGAGGGAGTGGGTACCTGAATTTGACAGGTGCCCACTCCCACTTCCGCTGCGACCGCCTAGGCACTTGGAAGCGGAAGTTGTCCTCCCCTCCCTCCCCGTAGTCTTCTGGGACACGACAGGTCCCAGAAGATTATGGGACCATTCACAAAGCGCAGCGCTTCTCGCACATGCACAGTGGGCACTCAGCTGAGAAGTCCACAAGCTGTCACAGCTGGGTGCCCACACTGAAGATGCCAGCGCCGGGGAGAGAAGACGGCCGGTGAAACCAGCGGTGGTGAGGACACCGCTGGACCGAGGGACAGGTAAGTGACTGTATTTTAAAAGTCAGCAGCTACAGTTTTTGTAGCTGCTGACTTTTTTTTTGTCTAGCTGGAACTCCGCTTTAACGTAAAAAAATATTTTCTACACAATTTCACCATGCTCTATAGCACAATGCTTACACTAGAACTGTGACCAGGCTGGGACATGTACAGCAGAGCTAAACCCATCGACTTAACAGCTTCAACACACAGTTACATGCTTGACATGCCAGGAATGCTAACTGTCACATTTGCTTGTACTTTCAATCTAACTGTCAAACCATCAAATGGCCGGTGTCATAACTGATCACACCTGCACCACCATGGCAGTTGCAGATAAAACATGGCAGCTCCCTTGGCTGAAAAGAACAGGAGGGTTAGGCTCTGATTTAAATATGCTTCAAACAATCTCTCTATGACCTCTGTAGCATGCACTGTGGAGTAATTGATTCTGAAAGCTAAGAACAGAAACACTTTAGTTTTCAATAGATTAGTTAATTTCACTCCCCCCTCCCAGCAGGGAGTGGGCAGTCTGCCATCTTTCTTACCTGTAATGTATGCAGAGCAGGAGCATGGGAAGAGGGTAGAGAGCATAATGCTGAGACTCGACTTGGATAACTTTACTGCTTCCATGGTAAAGTTTGAGGATGAATTGCTCCACACTGCGCAGCTACAGAGGTCAGTGTGGGTTTGTTTTAAAGGCTGTTTACTGCTTGTAAAGAATATGCATTGTAAATATTTGAATGTTTATAGCCTGGCCTTAGTACTCATTTAAATTTCAACTCAAGCCCAAAATGTTATTTTGTTTTTAAAAAACTAATGAAATAAAAAAATCCCTCTGTTTCATTGAAAGAGACAATATTCCAGATGACTAGTATCCAGGCAGGGTTTGTGTTTTTAATGACTGAGCTAATGGGATAGTGAATGGAGTTAAAGTGTTACTAAACCCAGGACAATGCATTCACTATATCTGGTCTCCCCGGACCCTGCATTCACTATATCTGGTCTCCCCGGACCCTGCATTCACTATATCTGGTCTCCCCGGACCCTGCATACACTATATCTGGTCTCCCCGGACCCTGCATTCACTGTATCTGGTCTCCCCGGACCCTGCATTCACTATATCTGGTCTCCCCGGACCCTGCATTCACTATATCTGGTCTCCCCGGACCCTGCATTCACTATATCTGGTCTCCCCGGACCCTGCATTTACTATATCTGGTCTCCCCGGACCCTGCATTCACTATATCTGGTCTCCCAGGACCCTGCATTCACTATATCAGGTCTCCCAGGAACCTGCATTCACTATATCGGGTCTCCCAGGAACCTGCATTTACTATATCTGGTCTCCCCGGACCCTGCATTCACTATATCTGGTCTCCCACAGTACACACAACATGGAAATGCAATTATATTAGTAAATATAAACTGCTAAATACATCTTCTCATTAGCAGGTAGAGTCTTGTGACTTCTATCAGTGTCCAGCAGAGCACTAGTTAAACCTTGTAGGAGGAGTGTTCATTATGCTCTAGGAAGATGCATAACCCCTGACCCTCTGTCTGGACAGTACTAATTGGCCCTGTGCTAATCACATGCACCCTCCCAAGAATAAAAAACCTCTCTACCAATACACACCAAACTGAGCATGTGCAGAGTGTCTCCACACGATATGTCTTATCAGGAGATAAGAGGGGGACACTGGAAGAAGGGGAGGATCAGAGAAGTCAGGATCCAACAGCATTTTTACACAATGCAGAGGATTAACCCCTTAGGTTCCACAGTGAGTATAACAAGCATGTTTTACTGCATATACAGACTTATTGTACTGTTGTGGGTTTAGTAACACTTTAAAGAGCCTGATACTAATAACTCAACTGTAGATATCAGTGCTTGTCACGTTATGTACACTAATGCTCAGAGTTTAGGTAACAAGCTCTGTAAACTGTCCAGGGATAACTCATGGTCAGGAATAAGTCATGTCCAGGGATAACTCTTATGTTCAGGGATAACTCTTATGTCAGGGATAACTCTTATGTCCAGGAATAAGTCATGTCCAGGGATAACTCTTATGTTCAGGGATAACTCTTATGTCCAGGGATAACTCATGGTCAGGAATAAGTCATGTCCAGGGATAACTCTTATGTTGATAATCACATCCAGGGATAACTCTTATGTCCAGGGATAACTATGTCCAGGATAAGTCTAACTCCTATGTTCAGGGATAACTCTTCATGTCCAGGGATAACTCTTATGTCCAGGAATAAGTCATGTCCAGGGATAACTCTTATGTTCAGGGATAACTCTTATATCCAGGGATAACTCTCATGTCCAGGAATAACTCGGACTTTGCTGCGATTACAGACACATGGTTCAGGCATCAAAGGACTGAGAAATAACTATACCAGAGTACACACTATACAGGTCAGGGAAGAAGGGAGCTGGAGCTGCCAATTACGTGAAGAATGGCCAAAAAGTAATATTTCAGAAAATAAACTTCCAACCAGAGAGGGTTCTCCCCTTTGAATTGTGTAGTATGCAGGACAAGCTGATAATTATGATGACCTGTTGGTTGATAAGATAACTCAAAGGACAATAAAGGGAGAGGTTTTAATTATCGGTGACTTTAACATACCATCATCATGTGACATGAACTGAAGTTCCTAATCTGCGCTTGCAATCATGAGCAGAGATATCATGGAGGCAATGAAAAGAATTTCTCTAAAACAATTTGTATAAAGCCCAACACAGGGAGATCATATTCTAGACTTCGTACGGACACATGGGGATCGATGGTCTGATAGTGAGGTGGGAGGAAATTTGGGTTCTAGTGATCACCAATGGCTTTGGTTTGATATCACAAGAAAAACTGAAAAAACATATAGAGAAACCAAAGTTTTAGATTTCAGAAGTTCCTGGTTTCAGATCAGTGGCAGACATAGCCAGGAAACTGACATTGTTAGAAGGGGTTAGCCATGGCAGCTTCTGTGTTTCTTCTTGGTCCCCAAGCCCTCAAAGCCATGGTTTCCATGCACTGCACTAAGGATGGTCAACAAGCATGAGATAGCGGTGTGTAGTGTGGAATAAATGGCTCTATAAAAGTAATCTCCAAACTTTCAGTAGGAGGGTCACATTACGGATTTTACCAAATATTTGTGGGCTGAAAAAAAATCAGTTTTATAAAGAGACCCCTTTACATCCAAGTGTGACCATCAGAGTCTCCCCTTACATCCAGGAGTGCCCATCAGAGTCCTCCATTACATCCAAGTGTGACCATCAGAGTCTCCCCTTACATCCAGGAGTTCCCATCAGAGTCCTCCATTACATCCAAGTGTGCCCATCAGAGTCTCCCCTTACATCCAGGAGTGCCCATCTATGCACTGTCCTTACATGAGGAATAAACAATCCTTTTATTTTTGAGATATGTAACAGAATGGGATATGGCATTCTTACAAGCATTTTGTTGGTGGAGTTGGAAATATTCAGTCTATTGCTGTGTTTAAATAATGGTTTGTGGATGCCTCTGCCTCAGGCAGTCAGTGGACATAATTACACATACATTACATAAATAAGGCTAGATTTATACATGCGTCTAAACCTGCCACTCCTCTGAAAAGTGATCTGGATTCAGGTCCCCTTTCAAAGGCAATTGACAAGCAGTGAGGAGGAGATGTGAAGCCTCCTCAACGCCTGTTTTAACCCCCATTTTTCTGAAAAAAAGCAAGCCACAAGCATGCGGCCACAGGGAATTTGCTGTGCTTCCCCATTTGCTTGAATGGGTCACGTTTGGCGGTCTTACTGTTTGCTATTTGCGATGTGTTGGAAAGCTTTTGCCAGGGCCATGAAATGAAACATCACAACTGCAGCTTGTAAATACCTCCATTCACTTCCATTGCAGCTTGGGCGCTACACTAAATAAGGCATTAAAGTGAGATTATGAAAAACCAATGATGGTAAACCATCAACACTTTCTGGCACCACCAATCAGTGCCATTGACAGATGGGGTGGCCTCTCCTGACTTGACAGAGAGATGATTGAGACTACAGCTGTGAGGGCACAGTGACATCACGAGGATCTCAGCCAATTGGATTAATGATGTCATGGCAGTGCAGGTGATTGTGGCTGGAGCTTTAGGCCCCAAGCATTGACACACACTATATTGCCAAAGGTATTGGGCCCCCCCTCCAAATCATTGGTTTCAGGTGTTCCAATCCCCTCCATGGCCACAGGTGTATAAAATCATCACCTAGACATGCAGACTGCTTCTACAAACATTGGTGAAAGAATGGGTCGCTCTCAGGAGCTCAGTGACTCCAAGCGAGGTCCCGTGATAGGTTGTCACCTGTGCAATAAGTCCATCCGTGACATTTCCTGGCTACTAAATATTCCAACTGTTAGTGGGATTATAACAAAGTGGAAGCAACTGGGAACAACAGCAACTCAGCCACCAAGTGGTAGGCCACGTCACATGACAGAGCGGGGTCAGTGCATGCTGAAGCGCACAGTGCGCAGAAGTCACCAACTGTCTGCAGAGTCAATAGCTAAAGACCTCCAAACTTTGTGTGGCCTTCAGATTAGCACAACAACCGTGCATAGAGAGCTTCATGGAATGGGTTTCCATGGCCGAGCAGCTGCATCCAAGCCTTACATCACCAAGTGCAATGCAAAGTGTCAGATGCCATGGTGTAAAGCACGCTGCCACTGGACTCTAGAGCAGTGGAGACGTTTTCTCTGGAGTGACCAATCACACTTCTCTGTCTGGCAATCCGATGGACATGTCTGGATTTGGTGGTTGACAGGAGAACGGGACTTACCTGACTGCATTGTGCCAAGTGTAAAGTTTGGTGGAGGGGGGATTATGGTGTGGGGTTGTTTTTCAGGGGTTGGGCTTGGCCCCCTAATTCCAGTGAAGGGAACTCTTAAGGCGTCAGCATACCAAGATATTTTGGACAATTTAATGCTCCCAACTTTGTGGGAAGAGTTTGGGGATGGCCCCTTCCTGTTCCAACATGACTGCACACCAGTGCACAAAGCAAGGTCCATAAAGACATGGAGGAGCCAGTTTGGGGTGGAGGAACTTGACTGACCTGCACAGAGTCCTGACCTCAACCCCATAGAACACCTTTGGGATGAATTAGAGCGGAGACTGTGAGCCAGGCCTCCTCCCCCGACATCAGTGCCTGACCTCACAAATGCTCTTCTGGAAGAATGGTCCAACCTTCCCATAGACACCCTCCTAAACCTTGTGGACGGCCTTCCCAGAAGAGTTGGAGCTGTTATAGCTGCAAAGGGCGGGGCCAATTCAATATTGAACCCTACGGACTAAGAATGGGATGCCATTAAACTTCATGTGCGTGTAAAGGCCGGCCGACCAATACTTTTGGCAATATAGCGTATATTCCCACTTTTCCTTTCATTGCACTCTACTTCACATGCATTATGGTGTAGGTAATCACAAAATAATAATGCATAATTAAAGGATTTTGCATAATGTTGGACCTTTGTCTTCAAAGTATTCTAAGTCATTAATTTCCTGTTTAGTAATTCCGACGTGGCAGTGCACTTTTCTCGATTGTGTGGATCTTAATTGCACAGATCAAAAGAATCAACCTGAGTGGGAAGAGACAGTGCTGCAGTGCAGCCAGCAGGGGGAGCGCTGGTCCCTGGTTCTGCAGCAGGAGACACAAGTGCTGGTTGCCTGGTAACAGGAAATAGAACACTTCAAATAGATACATTTGCAGCCAGTGCAGGTGTGACACCTGGGAGCCGGATATCCAGAAAGAGATAAAACATTGTCAGCAATCTCACTTTATTATTTACACGCCAATTATAATTTTTCAGCTTTTTAGGTAGAGATGCTGAGGATAATCCATGAATGTCAGGAAGTGTGAAGGCCAGAAGAGGACAGCAGATGGAAAACTTATAAGAAGGAAAAGAACAATCCTCTGATTTATATAGATAAAGGGTTCAGCACTTAGGAGTCACAATAGGAGATTGGTGGGATGGAGTTCTGGTCATGAGGGGACTATATTTCCTACACACAGCTCACATCCTGTCCAATGATGTCTATCAGTGGAGATGGTAATCAGGAGCCTCCAGGAGTCAAAAATGTCCCATTAGAGAACAGATGACCTGGATTAGTGAGAAATGTAAAGACCATGACAAGTTGTGACTCAGTTCAGATTTGAGACTTTTT